CCATATATAGGATGATTATACTAGAAGTACCTTCTAAATAATGATGCCATTTTTAAAAAAAATCTATAATTGTAAGAAGTTCTTTGTGGTGGATTTCATAATTAATCTTGACTACGAAGAATTTTTTGGAATAAAAAGCTACTAGATGGAACTTGTTATCTTTTCTTATTTATGACAAAAAACATTCACAGCAAAATTTGATGCATTTGTTTCAATAAAAAATGCCTTAAAAAACTCAATGCAATATAAGATTGGTGCAAAAATAAATGTTGACTTCAAGGCTTCAAAAGATGCTTCAGCTTCTTTGTTCCAATTAAATTTGTTTTTGTATATAAGATATATAAGAGTAGCTAAAACTTGAGAAAAATTCTTGATGACGATCTGATAGTAATTAGCTAAGCCTAAAAAGTATTGCTAAGCCTAAACAGTAAGAGATATTTCTTACTATTTTTATAATCTTTTAATCTATAATAATTTGAATCTTCTTTGGATCCATTATAAGTTCTTGATTGGAAATGATATATCCTAGAAAGTCAACTTGAGTAGTGTGGAATACACACTTTTTTAACTTGGCATATAATTCCGCATCTTTAAATTTTTGTAATACACAACAAACATAAAGTTCATATTCTTCTGTATTCTTAGAATAGATTAAAATATTATTTAAATTACAAATAACAAAATTATCTAAAAACTCACAAAAAATTTCACTCATAAGATGTTAAAAAGTAGTTGGTGCATTTGTAAGTCCAAAAGGTATGTTATTATATTCAAAGTATCTATGCTTTGTTTGAAATGCAATCTTCCATTCATCTTGTTTTTTAATATGGACGAAGTTGTATGCTCTTTGTAGATCTATTTTTGTATAGATTTTAACTTGATTTTATTGATTAAGAAGTCCAAATATTAAGAATAAAAGGTACCTATTCTTGATGGTAATCTTATTAACTCCTTGATAATCTACGCACATTTGTAGTGATCTATCTTTTTTCTTCACAAATAAAATAGGAGCTCTTACATGAGACTTTAAATGGCATATGAAATTCTTAACTAAATTCTTGTCAATGTACTTTCTCAATTCAGCCAACTCATTTTGTGATAAATTGTAGATTGGATCAAATGGTGGCTAACTTCTCTCTTTAAAGTCGATTGAACAATCATATGGATGATGCTCCAAGAGAATATCTACATTTTTCTTTTCAAAAATATCTTAAAAATCTTGATATTAACTTGGAATGCCACTTGAAGTCTTTTTATCATTAGAAATGGATGTGGCACAAGTAACAAAAGACAATCTCTCTTTTGTAGCAAGCAAGAAAGCTTTTATATCCACAAGTATATGTTTAGCTACACTAAACTCATGGCTTTCTACAAAACTTTTAATAATGCTTTAAGAAAAGTCAAATTTATGAAAAATCTGATCTTTTAGAAGATTATATTTTTTTAGCCATAATAAACCTAAAATTACCAAATTAAAGGGAGACCTAATTATATTAAAAATTACGCAACTATTATGATCATTTATTGCTACATCTATAGGAAGTTTTTCATGAGTAATATCTCCAAAAGATAATAGATGGCCATCTATAACTTCTATATATATGGATTCAATTTTTTATACTAACGGTATTCTATAGCTTTTAACAAACTCTTTATCTAAAAAATAAGTTGAGGCTCTTGAATCTATCATAGCAGAGGTTTTGGGATTATTAGGTCCTAAATGCACATCTATTATAAAATAAAAAGAAGATTTTGAGGAGAAGATATGACCTTTATTTATACAAGATTCTAATTGTACGGTCACTATTGTAACTTGACAAATTAGTTTTCCAACATTTTTTCATCTTTAATAGTCATATTCTTCATTTTGTAGTTGTATCATTTCTTTGGACAATATTGAGTAGTATGTTTAACTTTTCTACAATAAAAATATAGTCTTTTTTATGACAACAAGTCTTTTCTTGTTTAATAAGAGATTTAAAACGTATCGCATCAATTTGCATGTCTTCTGCTTCCAAATATTTTGATTAAGAAGTCATCATTGTTATCATTGAATTGTAGTAATGTAGAGGTTTTCTTGCACAATTCTCAAATTGAAACTCAAAAAGCCAATTCTCACACTTCACTACAAAGTCAATTGCTTGACTCAATGTCCAAGGATCAGATAAGATTTGACATGTATCTTAATTTGCAAGGCAAGTTTTCTATATGGATACCACATAGTTTGCTTGTTCTACAAGCTGCCAATACATGTGGCACGTGGTTAGCTTATTGATCAAGTTTCTAATCTACCAATCAACTACAAACATATGTAAAGTCAAAAAAATATCTAAAAATCTTTTAAGAAGCTATTTTAGAAGGTATTATGAAATTAATCTATTTTTATCTACTTCTACCTATTCATATTAACTAGATAATAATCATAGTAGATATATATTTATGAGAAGCACTCATGTCTTGTAACTAAGGTCATCCTAATATAATCGAAAAATGATTGTTTCTTGAAATCTCAATGATCATAATAATAGTAGATATCAACACATGCCATATATAGAGAATAATACATCCATAAAAATTTCCAATAGAATTATGAAGGTATTTTTTGCCATGAAAAATATAAACAATGTAGTTTTGGTTTTTAGGAATTGGTGTCACAAACACACATATTTATTTTAATAATTATCTATATAGTATAAATACTTAGAAGTATGTAAAAATAAATAAATTTAATAATATCTTATAGAAAAGCTTTTTAGAAGCTATATAGATGTGACTTCACTTTTATACCTATCTATTCGTAATTAATAAATAATAAACTTAGCCAACAAGTTAGTCATGTATTGCACATGTTGATAGCTCATGGTGTAAGCTAACTATGTGGTACATATATATAAAACTTCTTTTGCAAATCATGTCAAAGGTTCTATAAAATGTTGTCATGTAATTCTTAATTAAATAATATATATATATATATATATATATATATATATATATATATATAAATTTCTATTTTATTATCTTTTTTTGATATTTATTTCAATAGTTTATGTATCTTCTTTGAATTCTTGTCCTTGACATCTAAAGATACTATTGAATATGCTGTAATGTTTATTTTGGAGTTCTCATAAACTAAGACATTGATTAATTTGTATTATCCCAACTATATACAAATAATTATAGCATTTGGATCCATTGTTGCAATATTTATATTAGTAAGTTTTATCATTGTGGTGATTAGTTAATATAATTGTTATAGATATGTTTGGAAGTCTAAGTAGAGCTCTAGTAGTTTTTTCGATGTAATTATTACTTTTGTGATATCTAAGATTTTATCCTAAGTTGGCATATTACGTTGTATTATTTTGAATTCATCTTATATCACTATTTTGAGGTTGTATAATCTTTTCAAATATTGTAGAAAAAAATGATTTCTAAGGTTCTACTTAGTATTTTACTATCTCCAAATCTTGGTCTTTTTGTGATGAAGTTATTGCGGCAAAAATGGTTGAAATAATTGTACTTGCATTCTTTGATTTGGAATTATTGCACCACATTTGTAATCTTGATCCTTTGCTTAGATGGTAGCAATCATGGTTTATATGTTGAATAATTTTAACAATAATATTAGATAGATCTATAGTTCTAACAACCATTATTTGTAAGTAATTGTTGATTTGGTTAAAAGGCATTACAATGGACTCTATCTGGATATAATACCACTGCTTTATTTTGAAGTCATTTTGCAAGCTGATTGTTTAAATTCTAAAGATTCTATCTACAAGGTAGTAGATAATAATAATTATAAATACTACTCATGGATAGATATTGTATTGACTTTGGTGGTGGTATGTTCATACTAGAAATATTATTTTTTCCTCTAGAAATTTTATATAGTTGCATTTATTATTTGAAGTGGCATGGTAACATGCATATAAATTAATCCTTGTTAAAATGAGGTATATAAATTTTCTAGAACCAATTACAAAATATCGAGTTATTAATTGTTGTTTTTAGTTTATCAAATATTTCCTTGAATCAATTATAAAAGACATCTATTGATTCATTTGGACGTTGCATAATTACATCCAATGCTTGCAATACTTTCTTATTTCTTTTCAATATATATATATATATATATATATATATATATATGTATATTCTATTTCTTTTTAAAATACAACAAGGTGTTATTTTTTGAAGTCATATGCCCAATTAATTGTTATTCTTTCTAAAATTGTGGCAAAAAGATTTTTAAGTTCTATTAAATTGACAATTTGATTGATACTAGCAATATTTTTAAAACATCATAGGTATTAATTGAGATTGTTGTTTGTTTGAAATACCAAATATGAGATTACACATTATAGCTTATTAAATAGTGCTATTATTTCTATTGCAACTAGTGCAATAATTAGTGCAATTGTAAGTACTTGATAATAGTATTATTATTATTACCAAAATATTTTGATTATCTTTAAAAGATATTTTTATTTTTATTTTTTACTACATATATTTTGCAGATTATTTTTATTGTATTATATAAAATTTGTATAAATTTAAATACATTAATCCATTTATTATTTTATATCTTAAAAGCACATATTCTAAAGTTAATGCCTATTTAAAATATATTTTGTACCTATTAAAAGTTTTCAAGCACATTTTTCTAAAACACTTGAGGATTATTGTAACATTAAAAAAAATGAAATAACAAATCTTAATTATAAGATATTCTATTAATTTACTTTTTTATAAAATCTTCCGCATGCAGATGTCATTAAACATCTGCATGTGGAATTACCGGTAAGATTCGTTTATCTTATGATTTTATGATTTTATTTTGTAATGTTGGCCAATAATCACGATCACTAAGTGGAGTATTAAGGATGGGCCTTGTGGGCACAGATTCCAAGCCCAGCCGACGCGGCGGCACGGGATTAGGGCAAGCGTGATGTCGACGCCCACGGGACGGTGGAAACCCGAAGCCGCAGAGCCGAATCTAGACGCACGCACGCACGCACACGCAGCGGAGCACACCTCGAATGCGGATTCACACATGATCGCCACAGCCCTGCCTCTGCGAAGCGCCGAAGAAGAATGTTCTCCCCGCGCGACTCGGCTGCATCTTGTCCCACCTGAGCCTCACACTTCTCTTGTGGTTGAGTGACCTCACTGACATTTGCACAATTTTACAGTGAGTTTTCTCGCCATTTCGGTGCTTGGAATGTTGCGTTGATTCACTCAGTATTGTATTGTCTAAGAAAATCTATGTATATATTCAAACATATATATATATATATATATATATATATATATGTGTGTGTGTGTGTGTGTGTACAAGTACATTCTCTAACGGGTGTTGAGCCACGTCCCGCGCTATCTGGGTCTCCGATCTCTCGCAGACTTGAAATGAGCTCTCCCCCAGTGCCGCAGATAGCTGACGGATTTGAGAATTTTCGGTAGGGGTACAGTGCTGCAGGAAGCTGGAATGGTGCACTAGCAGATCTGGAAAGTTGACAATACCCTGTGCGCATGGCGGAATCTGAATCTTCTCGGGCTTGTTCGATGAAATCCTCTGATTCCGAAGGTGCCGAAGCTTTTGGACCTTTATAACATGGTACCAGTCGATGGGCTGGACCATAGACAGGCCAACTGTGGATGCATTGGAGTTTTCTAGTAAAGTGGATCGACGTGGGAGGGAATGGATATGCCAAGTTTGGGCTCTGTCGTGAGAGCGAAAGCTAAATGTCGAAGGGATGTCAGTTCTAGCGTGTATGGTGGAGGGTTGGGAGGGTTTTGGGCATGGAAGAGAAAAGGGGGCAGTGCCGTTGGATCGAAGGAGGGAAGATAAGTGGCCCTTGGATAGGGTTGAGGACTCCGCGCAACGGAGAGATATACTCGGGATATACAATACGTGGCGCTCTTCACAGTTTGGCAAGTTCCCCAGGAAAGAAGCAAGAGATCACCCGCGAAACATCTCCCACTTGGGTTCGCTGAGCTACGATCACCTATTCTGATTGCCGAGAGACCATTGTTCTGTTCATCGTGAGATGGGTTATGCAGCTGCTTCCAAGAAGCTGCCGTGTGCATGGCAATATTGAGCACCCTGAGCTGTGTGTCGGTTGTCAACCAATGAGGTCTGCCGAGGAGGTCTTTGTTCGAGGAAAAGTCAACTTGGGAAGAGCGCAAGATCTAGGACATCACCTATTTTACTCATCCTTCTTGACTCGCGTCGAAGTTTTCAGCCGTGGTGGAGTAGGTATCCAGCAGTTACCTGGTACTCGATGAACAGAAAATTGAAATGGCTCCTCCCACCAGAACATCTAATAAATCCCAACCCCTTAACCTCTCGTAGTGCTCAAAAACGATTTTGTGTTTTCTTTTTATAAAATAAAAAATTGAAACCCTTAACCCTGCAATTTAAGGACTCCCATCAATCGGTTGCCCATAAATGAGCTTCTCACAAAATCTGAGGCAGCTACCCGACATATATGTGTTTAATAGACACGACTGACGGACGGATGAAGTAAAAAGGTCAGATTGCGAGCTCGGTACCTGTTCAGCGAAATAGGAAGTTTTCGGTACTAGCCACAGCAAAATGGTTGTTCTTATTCCAGGAACATTAATCAATAAAATTCACCGAGAAAAAAGGATTCTCGATGATTGGGATTCACTGGCAGAATATTTATTGTAGTTTCTCTGAAGAGAGTAGCAATTTACCAGCACTTTCACCACCATAGACTTGTTCTAATCGTAGCCACTGAATTCAATCTGCCTTTGAAGCATTCTCATCGCAATTGTTTACAGGTTCAATTGCTGCTAGTTTCAATTGCACTGTTCTGTAGCCACGGATAGACTGCATCATACGCTACGTAGAGTCGTCGTCCGTACGTTGCCGAAACAAACTGCAGTATTAGAATTTTGTTTGGATGCCATGGTTGAATAGTATTATGTGTCGTGGCCTTCGTAAGTTACGGATGCGAAAGTTACTAGTCCGGATTCCGTGGAGCGGTGAAACGTTTGGCTGTGCTTACAGAACTTTGGCTCCTGGAAGTGCCCTCAGCTTTGTTTAGACGTTCACAATATTTAGCCTGCAAGTGGAGGGAGTTTCGGACTTCTCCAAGGTCCTCTAACTACCACACCTCTGAACATGCTTTCAATTTTAGCTTCTAGATGTATTGAAGCTCTTCAACCTGTCGTAAACCCCTTCGCAACCTCGGACATCGTCCGAAACTTGGTAAACATCATTGAATGCTCACGGATTGGATGGGGCACGGAAGTCTGGAGCCAGTCTTTACGTCAGGCCATGCAGTGGGCTTGCGAAGTGGACTTCAGTTCAGTGGATTCAATCTCAGTACTCGGTGTTCCTGCTGACTGGGACGAATTAAATCTCTAGGATCAGTCGAAATTGTTAAGGAATTTGCTGATGGTTTCAAAAACTTGGTGTTCAGCTTAATGCTGGCAGCAATGCCGGACTTTTTCAGTCTCGAGTAGTGGGGTCGAAGTTATAGTGAGCATTTAGATAACAATCGTAGGGAGGTGCTGTAAAGCTGGCCTCCTCTAGTTTATTCAGTGGTTGTGTCTTCCCGAGTGTTAACGGTGATATGTCGCTGGAGAGCCTCATCAAAATGCAGAGCTCTGGGGCCAGGAGCATTGAGGAAGCGAACACGCCGCGTCCCGGAGGCGTTGCACAGGGCTCCGTGCTCGTCACCCTGGATGTCACCAAGGAGCTCTGCACCCCTGCTGTATACTGGGCTATGGGCAATGTTGTCCGCCGCGGGGATAACTTGAAAATATTAGGCATCATCACGCATGTCTCCAATCCAAGTTCGTCGCGATTCATCTCCCACGCTCATCTGCTCGCTATAGAATGGATTTTTTTTTGAAGTCTTTTTGTAGTTTTCGAAACTCTTATGCTGATATTCAGAACAATCTTTGCTCTTGGTGCAGTGGGATTCAAGACGCGCGTCGACAAAAACAGTTGGATCGGCTCGAACGGAGTTATGCTACAGCATGAAGTCGAAACCAAACGAGATGCGCTGGAAAGCATCCCTCACGTCAAGGAGTGGTGCGAGAAAGCAGGGGTACGCGCAAAGAGTTGGAGAGAGCAATAGTTGCCAATGCTGTATATTGACTAGGTGCTTATCTGAGCGTCATTTTTCACGAATTGCATTGGTGATTCTCGAATCGCTCACACCTGCTTCTACCAATTGCAGGTGAAGTTGGATGTCGATGTGAAAGCAGGGTACCAAATTAAAATTATAGTCGTCGAGGAAGCTAAGGCCATTGGAGCCTACCACGTTGTTCTAGACAAGTGAGTGTGCCCAAATGGAAATGGTTCCTCCATCGTTGAGAAGTTTCATCGAAATGTGCCTGTGCTGCGTGTTTCGTTTTTGTGAGGCAATTTATCCTACCGTACTGAATTGCATCGGTCGCAATGTCAGGAACATGAAGAGTGATCGGAAGTATTTTGTGGAGAATTTGACATGCTTTGTTTCAAGAGCTCGGAATAGCGGCGGGATTGACACCATCCGGTCGTTCTCCGTGTCGAAGCAGCTCCCGCCTCTCGTGCCGACTCCGCCAAACACTTTGCGAAACGGGAACCAACCGCTCGTCACAACTGGATCCACGGCGTCGATGGCATCTCTGGCGTCGACTCACTCACACCACTCGCACGGATCAGTGTCATCGAGCTCTTACGGTGAATCGAGCGACGGCTTCCTCACGCAAGACAGTGATTTATTCTCCTTGGCGCCCACAACGGGTGAGTCACTTGAGCGGATCCATGAGGCTCAAGAAAATCCTACGCATAGAGCGTCGATCCCCTTCCGCTCAAATGCGAATCCCGATTTGATGAAAATGCAGAAGATGCAATACCACGCTGATCAGAGGGCTCCTCGCCTGTCTCCAGTCGAGTTTGGAACTGGTTCCAATTTGAATAACCACCTAACGAAGCCAACACTAAGGAAGTGGCTGGCTGAAGAGGAATCTACGGCAGAGGTGACAGCGGCCCCGTTCGAGGATTCTATCCCTTACGGTGAACGCAGTGAGTCTTGATCACCATCTTCTTCATCTTTTCTTTTCAACAAATTTGTAATGCAGGATTAATGAGGGAATTTCAGCTAGACAAGGAAGAAATTGATTGCACAGCATGGCGAGTTTGAGATGTACTGATCAATATTTGTGGTATCTGCTCGCAAAGACGGAAATGGTAACAAGATTCAAAATGGGATGTCTAGCAATGAGCAAACTCGACGAGCTCCGACTACATTCCTTGAGAAATCCGTCAATGCGGTACCATCATCCGCTCAAGTATCACATCCTCTTCAACGCCCTCCAGGACGAGCAGTTGCACAAGCGAACCCACCTTTAATAAATTTTTCGCGGATGCCATCACCGCCGCATAGCAAGTTGACCCAGAATTTGAATAAGACAGTGTGGGTGTGGACACGAAGCAAGGATGTGATGAGGAGTGCTGTGGAGGTTGGCTGGACATCGTTCATCTTCACTCCAGACACCAAGTACATGGCCCCGCAATGGACTTGTAAAATTCTTCACCCCAAACCTTTGCGTGAAGCTTAGACGTTGTTTTTCGCGGTTTAGTTTCGTTCAAGAGGCAATATGAATACAGCGTCTAATGTTGAGAGGATGCTGGACTTTCCACTGATGGAATGTAAGCGGATGTTGTGGAGAGCAGCGATCGAGTGGATCAAGCCCCTGTTCCTTGATGGAGGCAGGTTCTTGAACCAGGAGGGGAAGCAAGTGGCGCTTCTTGGTCAGGTGTACTCTGGCGAGCAGCTAGACTACCTTCCTGCTATGATGGGCAATGCGGAGACTGTTGTTATCAATGACCTTGACTGGCAGCTCATTCCTCCTGAAGACGTGGTAGCTGCGTTTCAAGGTAGACGCACCCAGCTTTTCGCCACGGCAAACACCGCTGCTGATGCACAAGTATATCTGGAGGTACTGAATCATTGCTACTTATGCTGAAAATTTTGCTGCGCTCTTCTTAGACAGTCATCAGTTTGGTTGACAATGTTAGCAAGAGTCAGGTTATTTACGGTATGATCTGTTTTTCTTTTTTTTCTTTTTTTCTTTGTAAGGTTAATCAAAGTGTGCAATGTTCGATTCGTTAAATGTGAGTTATGTGGACTTTGTACTTGCAGGCCCTTGAGGTAGGGTTTGATGGCGTGGTACTCCACACAGAAAACACCGCCGAAATAGCTGCTCTCAGGGTAATTCTTGCAACCTTCCCTCTACGTTCTTTGTCGCAGAACAGCAGAACATTTAGAACTAAAGACGGCCATTTCCTACTAATATCTTTGTTGTCCTGAATAGTGGTTCTTAGCTTGTGGAAGCGAACTGAAGGGTGTGTATGTGAATCGTAGGATTACCTGCTAGAGAAGAAGTTGAAGAAGGACCGCGCCCTAGAATGGGTGAATGCTTATCAACGTGCAGAACAATCTGGCAAAGGGGTGGCCGAGGAGACTGTTGAAGAGCTTCCGGTTGAGGTGGCTGAACTCCCCGGTTTAACGCCAGAACACTCCTTGGAAAGAACAGATTCTCACATCACGAACCAGGACAGCACGTTGCTTAGATCAGACTCGAAAGGCGTGAATCGGGACAGCACCTTGCTCAGATCAGACTCACAGGGCGTAATCCAGGACAGCAACTCACTTAGATCAGACTCTAACGGCGTGAATCAGGACAGCTCCCCGCTTAGATCAGACTCGAAAGGCGTGAATCCGGACAGCTCCCAGCTCAGAACAGACTCTAACTGTGTGAATCAGGAGAGCTCCTCAATCGGATCAGACTCAAACAGCGTGGGCTGGGACACCATGTCGCTTAGATCAGACTGTAATCCTCTTAACCGGGTCGGGTCATCACCGAGGCTCTTGGAGTCGCCCAGAGCTGTAAATGTAGCTGCAAACCAAGCGCCAAATTCCTCCACACCACAAACATCGACTGGGTTGAAGATGGTGAAGGCTACTGTGAAAAGTGTGGTCTCTGTGGGCGAAGGCGACCGAGTGTCCGTGGACCTCTGCAATCTATTGAATCCTGGCGAGGCTGTACTTGTAAGACTGATAATTGTTTTGATTTGTATGTTTATAAAAGCACCAATTTCTCAGTCTGACATCCGCATAACAGTATGCAAAGTTATCTGGAGTACCTTATCTGATCATACTGAGTTCTTGCAAGATGATGTATATTGTCATACTAAGCCTGGCAGTGGTTTACAGGTGGGTTCTTTCACGAGGGGCATGTTCTTGGTGCATTCTGAGGTCCAAGCTAACAACACAAGCCGTAAATCGTTTCGTGTCAATGCGGTGAGTAGGCCTCTCATTTCGCATTACTTGTGTTCCTTCGGAAACCGAATTTAGCTGACGTACTCACAACAATCGAATTTTACTCCGGAATTCATATCCATCAGTGACCAATGCAGTCGCGTGATAATGAATTCTTGTAACAACTTTGTTCCCTGCATGACAGGGTCCTGTGCACGCATACACGGGCATGGTCAGAGGGCACATGGCATACTTGTCAGAGCTGGAGTCTGGAGGTCAAGTATTAGCGGTGGATGCGCATGGCCACTCCCGCACAGTTCTTGTGGGCCGTGTTTCCATCGAAACTAAGCCTCTCGTCCTCGTTGTGGCGGAGGCTGGGGGGCAGTGTTTTAATGTCATGCTGGAGGATGCAGATTCAGTCCGCCTTGTTATCCCCGCAGGTTCGAAAACCCACCCAATCCCAACTTGGATTATAAGATTGTTTTCTTCTAAGAAGTGTTAAATCAGTTATCAATTGTTTGTATTGAAACTTTTGCGCTTTGTGTTGAAGTAACCAATTTTAGTAGGCTACCAATTAACGGACATGAGGTTTGCTACTCTGCAGAGGATCAACGTCCAGGCCATGAATCCATAGCCGTGACGCAATTGAAACCAGGAGATGCTGTTTGCTTGAGAATGGAAAATGACGACGCATTAGAATTCTAAGATGTAGTTCATTAATAGATCAATTTATACGTTAGGCATCATTTTTTTGAGTCAACCAATTGTTACATGTGATCGCGATGCTCAAATCGACGTATTTTAGTTTCCTTTTGAAACGGGACGCTATGTGCGAGATTTATTACCTGCAAGCGGGAGCTACATTGCCAAACTGTTCCAATAGACAAATCGCTTCGAGCATCTAGAATGTGCAATTGCGTCTATGAACTACTCCAGATTATTTCATGCAACAGTTCAAGTCGTTTACCTCAGACGGCCTGTGATTAAAAGCTTAGATGACCGAAAAGCTTCCTGGTCGAGAAATATATTATCCCATAGTGGTTTGACGAAACATGATTTTATTGAAGGATGATGTATATTTTCAAAATTCATGATTAACAATGCCGAGATGGCATGATTTATTTTACAGTGAAAGTGTAATTAATGTAAGAAATGCACCCCATTCATATGTCGAATATACCGTATATTGTGCACCGTTCTTCTCTCATATTGAAAAATGATCTTTCTTCTCACAAGAGATATAATGGTGCTATTGCAGAACTCGAACCCCATACAAACATTAAAAAATCACGACGACACGGGCACTATATGGTGTACCACACCAGTCCAAAATATGTGGAAATTACTGAACAGGCGGAACTGATCCTGATCAAAAGTATGAGCATTAATGAAGGAATTATTGTGAGAAACCGTCGAATCCTTTCTGAAATAATAAATGTTGAAGTAAATCCTGATTTAAGCATCATTGATAGCCTTGCAGCAACCCCATGACCCTCAAATAGTATCATTCTAAATTTATTCTGCTTCCGACAATGAAAAATGATATTCAAGAACTAACGAGAGACATTACAAAAAAGGATAGCTCCACAGGAGTGGTCTCAATCGCATTATACAATCAAAGCAGAATTCTTTACTTCAATGTGCCCCCATGTCTCTGACAATGTCCTTCTTCAGTAGCAGGGTACAAGAACGTCTAAACTTTTGGAACCCAGATCAATCTCTTATCTTCAAACCCAAAGGATCCACGAAAATTTACAATTCGTGTGCAAAATGGATAAAAGCCAGTAAAACTCGTTCACAACAGACAGTGTGAGTCCTCCGCACATATGTTCCGCCGCATTGCCCCGAATTCTCCTGCAATCGATTCCTCAGTTGGAATTAAGCAGTCCCTTCGGAATTCTTGTGAAATAAACGCCTCAATGTCAAGCTACCTGTTTTCAGCGATGGTTCGCAGTATGGATCACACGTAGCCCTTCCCAACGCAATTCAAGCACTTCTGAACCCTGCGCATTCGAATCCACACATGAATCAACAATGGGAAAATACTTCAATTTCAAAAGCTCATGTTAACTCTCTATTGAGTCAAAATTATGCAATAACTGTATAACGGTGAAACAAAATCTGCCAATAGCACAAAACGACTAAACTCAGTTCTCATTCTACTAAGAGAAGGTGGAGACAGTCATACCTGTTGCCGTCACAAGTCGGACAAACGCAAGGTTTAAGCACCACTGGGTCATACAAGGGTGACCAGTTGATTGTAGCCTCCCCTTTGCACAAGCGACATGGCATGAATCCTCGACCTTTGCAACACGAACATTGCGGAGCAGTCTTCTTCTGCAGAGCCCATATCCCCGAGCACACAACACCATATGAAAAAGCAACAGAGCAAAACTACCACTGGAATTGGATAAACAAATTCAAGGGTGGATAAGATGTGGGACCCTTACCCGCTGCCGCTCTACGACAGTGGAAAGCACACCAAGCGAGACAGAAGACGCCATGGAAAGAGTAAACATTCCAGCTGCTACGGCAGCGCCCGCTGTCGCTACCACCCGCAGAGGACCTCCCGCGCTCATTGCGAAAGCAGACCACCCTCGCAGTTTTTGCAAAACGGCTCCAATTCGGTGCTACTCCAATTCCACCGACGTTTACCGTCTCCACAGATGAGGATACAACATTACCGATTCGGCGCGGACCCGGGCAACGAAATAGTCCCAAACACTCATCAATCAATCCCTCTGGCAATTGCGAGCACAAGCCAAACCCTAATTCCGGGAGATGTGAACTGCGCTTGCATAGGTCGGGGCCGTCCGGACTTCAAACGAATTCCAAAACGACAGAACGAACGAACGAACAAAAGCGAACGATCTTCTGAAGGCCTACAACAATCAATTGGACTGAAATGAAGTTCAATCAATATAACGATGTGTTTGCAATCTGTAAATTAGTGAATTTTGATGTTTTGTTTTATTTCCATGTGAAAGAAAAAAAAATTCTAGTTAAATCTTCTTTATTATTAAAGTAAAAGGTGTTTATTTATATGCATGATAGTTTCATAAGGATGTGGGTAGTAATGCAATTGGCTACAACTGAAGGGTTTCTCCTCCAACTATTTAACACCAAAAAAAAAAAAAAAAAAAAAAGGAAAGAAAGAGCCCTGCCCTCTCTATGCTTTGATGTTAAATTTTTAATTTCTACTCACATTCATAAAACTTTTCATCATCTTTAAACAATTGTTCACAATCAAACATTCAATTTATGTATGTTTAATCACAATCAAACATAAATTTAGGCATTGAATTTATGTATATTTAAATAAATTACTTTATAAAGAGTAATTTTATATTTTTAAATTTTTATTTTGCTTATATATGTAAAGATTTATTGAAGCCACATCTCAATTTTGTTAAAGCAACATCCCTCCAAACCATGGAATAATTAATTTAGTCCAATGTCATTCTACTTAATGTGGTGTGTTCATGACTATGGCTCAATATGGATGAGCTTGATTATCATGCCTTATAATATGTTTGCTCTTTTAGTGCAACAATTATGATTACAAAAGGAAGCACGTCCTTCGTGTCCAAGCATCTTTTTTGCCTAAGACTCTCCTCATAAGTGCAAAGGCAAGCCTTATCTTTTATGCCTAAGAATCTCTTCTACTCAAGACTCTCTTCACAAGTTTAAAAGGAAATCTTGTTTGTTATAAGACAAACAAGCTCTATGTCAAACTTTAAAGTTGCATCATCTAGAATTATAGGAGGTGAATCAATGTCTTTATAAGCATTTTCTAATGATATCATAAGTGTAGTTTTTATTTTTTATTTTTTATTTTTTTCCATAAAAAATCATATATAAGAGACAATAGAGTCATATATGTAGACAATAGAGAAGAAGGATCAATCTTATGTAGAATGGGCAACCACTAACTTTAGCCTCTATTTTGATAAAGCCAATGTCATTGTTGAACCTTATTTAAAGTTAGTAAATAATCACTATCAATTTGTAGTAACACAATCTTCAACTTTTTATAAGCAACTTTAAGATTTAGTCCAAGAAAGCATGAAAAAGCATAAAATGCTCCCTTTTTGGGCCACTAAAGAGCTAATCTAGTATCTTAATTTTGTATTATTGATCCTTCCTATTAAAACATTACTTTTGATATTTTCTTTTGTCCTTGGAAGTAAGAATGTCCATAGAAGTAATAAGCTTATTTATCATGTAATATGGTATTGGATACGAAATCCCTTCAAATGTACATAATTTAATTTAATTAATAGTTTTTTACCTATTGATATTTTTTTGTTAGTTGACTTTATTCATGCCAATTAGGATTTAAATACTTGGGTGGAAAAAAGTCTTTGATTTGACATTCTTATCAAGTCAAATCTTATGAGTGATTTTGAGAGAGAGAGAACTTGTTGTAAGAATTTTCTTGGCTATGGCAATTTAGCCATTTTAGTAAAGCTTTAGGATTTTCTTTATTTTTACATTTAAACTCTTAGATTTATTTTTTTATAATACCAAAGATAGCTTGTCTTATTTTTGTGTAGATTTCTAATCTTTCACTTTACAAGAATGTTTTCTCTTCTTCAAATTATAGTATAGCAAATTAAAATGAAGTAGTTTTAATTAAAAAATAAAAATAAAAATAAATAAATTTTTGGATTTTTTTTTCTATTGGATTTTGTTGCAATATTGTATCAAAATATGTTGTAGTATGGAAACAAGATATTGAAATAGTATAATATAAGAAATATGTATGGTATAGAAATTTTGAAGTTATATATAATAGAATAGAAGATCATAGTAAGAGAGTTGTAGTAAGGTCACATCATTAGATAAGGTCACCATACAAGAATATGTGCAAAGGCAAAGTAACATGGTTTTGGTTGCAATATTCTAAAAAATTGTGGTATAAGAAGATTTAGATATAGAACTTATTTTAAAGCAAGAAATTTTTTTTGTTTCCATATAAGAGCTTGACAATGTAGCAATTTTTTAGAACGTAACTTTATTATGGCAAAGAAGGATTTGGTATAAGTTGCTACTTGAGTATCACAATATGAAAGTTCATTTGGAAAATTTTTCAAATTTGATACAATGTGTTATTGTGCATGAAACAGTGTGAAAAAAATATTTTGGATCTACAATGGCTAATGACATCTTGTAATACTTTCTTATGGCTTAAAATGTCAATCCATGGTTATAAATGAGGTATAGTGACAAGTCCTCACGATGATCAAGTTACAAAATAATAAGGTTCTACAATGATATAACCTCATGGTAATAGGTCTAACTGGTCATAAGATCATTTTAGTAAAATAATCTATTATACAATCTTAGAATATATATTAAAATAAAAAATAAAATAAAATAAAATAAAAATAAAAATATACATATATTTTCTGAAACTCTTTAATACTAAATTTGGAAGTTCACTTCAAGTATACATAGAGTCTAAATTTGATCATTTTTTTAATCAATTTTATGTAAAAGAGATCTAAAAAAATTATTGGCATTCTTGATTTTTAGAGTAGAGATCATTTAGAGCTTTGAAGTAGAATTTATTAAATACAAATTTCTTTTTAAGTGAATTTTTGATTTTCTCTCACTTCTCTACATTTCATTTTATTGCAATTATTTTTTTACTATTAGAGGTTTTATAATTTGTGACCATCAACCATAAGCAAGTATTAGTTGTTCTAATTGACTTTAGATTTTGGCTCTTGTGTTGATAGAGATGAGAATCAAATGTGGATTTTTGGATTTGATTTTTGATACCTTCTTCTAGTTCTGAAGATTGTTTCTAAAGGTCTTCTATGATTATTTTATTTTGTATTTATACTAGTAAATATTGATACACATATTATAGGGATGAGGTTGTATTGATAGTTGGCAAGCTTCTTTTATTTGTAGATATGTTGAACTTATAGATTTGTAAGCACATCAGCAAGCATGTCATTTGTAGCACAATACTTCATACTTATTATTCCATCTTCAATCTTCTCTCATATGAAATGATGTTGAACATCAATGTGCTTGGTCCTTGAGTGGTATTTTGGATTCTTGGCAAATGCAAGATATCCTTAATTGTCACACATAATTAGAGTTGCTTCTAATTGCACTAGACTAATGTCTTCTAAGAGTTGCCTTATCGAACATGCTTCCATTGTATAATGACTTGTTGCCATGCACTCTGCCTCCATCATTGATCTTATAATGGTAGATTGTCTCTTGCAATTCCATGAAATGCCTCCTATTCCAATGAAGAACACATATCCTATTGTGGATCTTCTATCATTTGCATTTCCAGTCCAATCCGCATCACAATAACCTTGTAAGTCAATGTTCTTACCACCAAGGCACAATTTGAAGTCTTTTGTATCTTTTAAATACCTCAATATCTTCTTTACCGTTTTCCAATGCATTGGTCTAGCCTTAGACATGTGTTGGCTTACAACACTCACTACATATGGAAGATCCACTCTTGTAGCCACCATTGCATACATGAGTGAGCCTATTGCTGCTTTGTATGGAACACTTTGCATCTCACCTTCAACTTGTGCAAACTCCTCATGTGTGAGCTTCATCAACTTCAAATTTACCTCCAAGGGTGTTTCAATGGGCTTACACTCCTCCATGTTGAATCCTTTCAATACTTCTTCAATATAGTTGGTTTGGCTCATTGTAATGGTCTTATTACCACGATCTCTTACAAATTCCACTCTCAAGCAATAGTGCAAATCTCCCAAATCACTCATCTCATATTCCTTCTTCAATTTGGCCTTCATCCAATCCATCTTTTCCATATTGTTAGCCAAGATGATCAAATCATCAACATAAAGGATTACAATTAGCAAGAACTCTCCAGATTGCATCACATAGAATGAATGATCAGCTTCACTCCTTAAAAATCTTTCATTGACAAAGAAGGTGTCAATTCATTGGTACCATGCCCTTGGTGATTGTTTCAATCTATACAAGGATTTCTTCAATTTGCACACAAGATGTTCTTTGCCTTATTGTACAAATCCTTGAAGTTGGTCTATATAGATGTCTTCTTATAATTTTTCATTCAAAAAGGCCGTCTTTACATCCATTTGATGTATTTCTAAATCCATTACTGTCCCAATTGCTACAATAGTTCTAATGGTGGTGAATTTAGCAACGGAAGCATAAGTCTCATTGAAATCAATTCCAGTAACTTATGAATATCTTTTTGCAAGTAATCTTACCTTGAGCCTCACTACCACACCCATTGCATCTCTTTTAGTCTTAAACACCCACTTACAACCAATACTAGATCGATTTGCTGGAAGAAGTGCCAATTCCCATGTACTATTGTCTATAAGAGATTGATATTCTTTTTCCATAGCCTTCTCCCACTGGATTGCATCTTCACACTTCATAGCATCACACAAAGACAATGGATCAATAAAAAGAACAACATTTGCATGTTCTTCACTTACTTGAAGGAAGATGTGATTCTTCCACCATTCGCCACGTTGCCTTCTTTCTCTCAAAGGATATTTCCTTTCACTTATAGAAGAACATTCACCTTGTTGCACTCCTTGTTCTTTTCTAACTCTTAAACCTTGTCGTTTTTCACTCAATGGTTGGTACTCTTCATCATTATCATCATCCCAATCTGTAACATCTTCATTTCTTTCATTGCTGGTCCTATCAATTGTAGGAGCCTTCATCTTTTCAACCTTCTTTGGCTTTTCATCTTCATCATCTTCATTGTCTTCATCTTCTTGTTTCTTTGCTGAATTCAAAGATGTGTCCACAA